GTGAAAGACCTCTACTTGAGACCCTAGAACCACTGTTATTCCCAGTACATAATACTGATCTTGATTGACTAGTGGTTGGACTCAGTATAAGGTAGCTTCATATGTATTCATTTATGCAATATCACATCTGAAACCAAACTATGTAGTCATATATGTATGTATGTAGCAGCCAATCAGTTCCATAACTCTCCAGTACATTTCACCAAAACAGCTTTACTAGACTCAAGACCATTGTCTGTACAGAATACCAACCTACCATTTACAGGAAAATAGAACAATAGGCCCTTCCTCATTAGTAAAAAAGGAATCAAAAATTCTTGTGTCATTTAAGAGCTTAAGAAGATGTTCTGCATTTCTTATCCCAGCTCATCTCATTGAGGAGGAGGAGGAGTACTTCAGTCCACATGCAGGGCTTTTGTGGCTGGTTGCTGTTAATTCACCAATGTTACCCTCTTTTTGAACTTAGAAAGAAAAGTGTGAACAATCTCTAGTCTGTCCATAACAATTACACATCATGTGAGCAAGTTCTTTGCTTAACTGAGTCTCAGTTTCTCCTTTCTTCAGTTTTTTCAGCTGCATTATTGTTTTCACAGTGGGGTAATGCGAGCTGCTCACAATATTCTAAATGTGGATGCATCGTGCTGGTTTCCTAATCATTCCTAACTCTGCATCTGCATTTTTCATTGACATTATTGTGTTTCTAGATCAGCTTCAATGGCTTTAATAGCATAAGGACCTGTCATCCAAGACACAGTGTATCTCCCATCTATAAAAATAAGCAGGAGTCTTATGGCACCCTATAGACTAACACATTTTTATTCTAGCATAAATGTTCATGGACCACAGCCCACTTCATTAGATGCATGTAGCAGGTCCTCATGAGACAAGTATATATTTGTAAAAAGTTGTAAACAGCAGGGTCCAAATGGCCATGAATTGCAGGAAGTACAAGGTGAGATGGAATAATATAAAATTCAAGTGCAATCCAAAAAAGTACAGAGACCATTCACAAAAACAGTAATTGGTGGTAACACGGTCTTCCTAGTAACTGCTAAACATCTGTAATGTCTAAGGAATCCCAGGACTCTGTTAACTACATCCTTGGGAGATCAAACCTTGATCAATTGTAGTTCATCAGTTTCATGGCAGTCTCCCTTTGAGAATCTTCTGGAGAATCATGAATTGTACATAAGCAAAAGTATGCTGAAATGTTATGCTGGTTTCCGAATATCACCATTTCAAAGTCCAATTTGAGTCTATGTATCGTTTCCTGTTTCTCCTATGCAGAGAGCAGAAGGGCAGTGTTGAAACATGATGGCATCTTCTCTCACAGTAAAGCAAGAAAAAGACCTCACGATGACCTACATAGCTGACATTTGTAGGTCCTGCAATATTATTGCCTGAGTGGACACGAGAACAGCATTGGCATCTTGCTTGGTTGTAGAATGTGGTTCCTAGGTTTGTGTGTCTGTTAGGTGGCCCGTTGTTAAGAACATAAAAGAGTCCTGCTGGATTAGACAAGTGGTCCATCATGTCCAGCATCTTGTTTCATGCTATGGCCAACCAGTTGCCCTGAAACAAACAGGTCACAGAGGCAAAGGCTTTCCCATGATGCTGCACCCAAGAATTCGTTTACTACATTGTTAGTACGAAGCTGCTTTGGGTTTGGAGGCAGAAATCCACAAGCAAGGAAAGGCCTGCGAGGAAGGTCACCATTAAAACCACGTTGTTGTTGTTCAGTCGCACAGTCGAGTCCGACTCTTCGCGACCCCATGGACCAGGTCACGCCAGGCCCTCCTGTCTTCTGCTGTCCTCTGAAGTTCACTCAATTTCATGTTCGTTGCATCTATGACACTGTCTAACCATCTCATCCTTTGCCGTCCCCGTCTTCTTTGACCTTCAATCTTTCCCAGCATCAGGGTCTTCTCCAGTGAGTGCTCCCTTCTCATTTGGTGGCCAAAGTATTTGAGCTTCAGGTTCATTATCTGGCCTTCCAGGGAACAGTCAGGGTTGATTTCTTTTAGGATTGACTGATTTGATCTTCTTGCAGTCCAAGGGACTCTCAAGAGTCTTCTCCAGCACCATAGTTCAAAAGAATCTATTCCTCGGCGCTCGGCCTTCCTTATAGTCCAACTCTCGCAGCCATAGATGACAACTGGGAATACCATTGCTTTGACCATGCAGACTTTTGTTGGCAGGGTGATGTCTCTACTTTTTATCATGCTGTTTAGGTTCACCATTGCTTTCCTCTCAAGGAGCAGGCGTCTTTTAATTTCATGGCTGCTGTCACAGTCTGCGGTGATCTGGGAACATGAAGTCTGTCACTACTTCCATGACTTCCCCTTCTATTTGCCAAGGAGTGATGGGGCCGGATGCCATTATCTCAGGTTTTTTGATGTTGAGCTTCAAGCCCACTTTTGCGCTCTCCTCTTTTACCCTGAGCAAGAGGCTCTTGAGGTCCTCTTCACTTTCTGCCATTAGAGTGGTATCGTCTGCATATCTGAGGTTGTTGATCTTTTCCTCAGCAATCTTAATTCCCGCTTGTGATTCATCCAGGCCAGCATTTTGCATGATGCACTCTGCATATATATTAAATAAACAAGGTGACAATATACATCCTTGTTGTACTCCTTTTCCTATGCTGAACCAATCAGTTGTTCCATATCCGGTTCTAACTGTCGCTTCTTGACCCTTATACAGGTTTCTCAAGAGACATGTGAGGTGGTCTGGTACTCCCATCTCTTTAAGGACCTGCCATAGTTTGTTGTGATCGACACAGTCAAAGGCTTTAGCATAGTCAATGAAGCAGAAGTAGATGTTTTTCTGGTACTCTCTTGCTTTCTCCATAATCCAGCGAATGTTGGCAATTTGATCTCTAGTTACTCTGCCTCTTCTAAACCCAGCTTGTACTTCTGGCAGTTCTCTATCCACGTACTGTTGAAGCCTAGCTTGTAGGATCTTGAGCATGACCTTGCTAGCGTGTGATGTGAGTGCAATTGTGCGATAGTTTGAACATTCCTTGGCATTGCCCTTCTTTGGGATTGGAATGTATACTGACCTTTTCCAATCCATGTACTCTGTATAAATTAATATTTTCTCCAGATTGTCAAAATATTTCTGGACTTCTAACTGTCCAGTTCTAAGGTCTTCATGACTTGAACCAGATGTCCTGGCCTGGAAAAAACTGAGGTATCATCAAAGATGAAAGCTTAGTACAAATAGTTGCGTGTTTCTCAGTGCTTCTTATTTGCCTTCTACATTCGTGTGCATCATCTTACCAGTAGTCATGTAGGCCAGTCTACTAAAATGCCAGCGGCAAAGCAGAAATAGAAAGAAAGGGAAATAATAATATCCGTCTGCAACTCCCATGTAGTAGCTGTTTCAGCTTACTTCAGTGATCTAATATCTTGCTTCTGGTACACCTTTGCATACATCGGCTGAGGATATAATTATGGGAGGCATTTATATTTATATTTATTTACTTATTTTCAGCTTTACCAAGAAGGATGTTCAGGTTCACAAATCCATTTCAAGAATGGGTGTCTGCTTACTAGAATGTATGAGCAGAAAATTGTTTTACCTGTATTATGAGTAGGGAATTGTTTAGTGGGATGAGGATGGGATTCACACATCTGAGCAAAGTGGTATTTAGGCTGGATGTGGTTTGGCGGTGCAAAAAAAAAAAAAAGCAGCTAGATGGAATGGGCATCATTGCACCAGAGATGACCTAAGGTTAGGTAGCAAACTGCCCAAGAATCAGCAGCAGACAATAGTAATTTAATAATAATTTACTAGCACACGCCTTTTGTCATGCCATTATATAGCCTCTTCCACAAACTCTTGATTTCCCTCCCTTTAGCTCCCCCACCTAGCGATCCAGAAGAACTATCATCCCCAGTGAAGTAAATGGGAATTTGACCAAGGTACCACAGACCAAGGTTCTATGAACCCAGCTTGCTCTCACCCAACAGCGTTTATTATTTATTTGCACCGCGCATGGAGCTCTGCCAGGGGCACTTGCATACCGATGCCTCCTGCTATTTTCACGTATCGAGATAGATAGAACAGCTATACAGTACTGCCACGTTGCGGATTTGTAAGCCTGCAGCCAGGGTCTATACAGAGGGGCGTGGAGAGACTGGGGCCGGGCGGGAAGGGGGACGTAGGGAAGCGGGGCGGCTGCTCCATGCCAGATGGAGGCAAGCAGGGTGTTGCCGAGAGAGAAATGGTTGCCTCGAACTAAAAATCCGCCCACCAAGGAATCGGCAGCCTCCACGCTGCAAGCGGCCGCCAATGCAATGGAGATGGCTTCCAGCGCGGGCGGGGCACCGTGTGTGTGGCGGGGGCGCGTTGTCTGCTGGAGCCTGGTGGGGGGCCCGTCCCCTCCCCCCCCCCCCCCCGGTAGCAGGTGCGATCTCTTTGAAGCCTGTTCCCCCGGAGAGGGGAGTCCCCACCCAGGCCTTGGCTACTGACTGCGAAGAGGGCTAGGCGCCCCCTCCCTCCCTTCGTCGCCCAGAGGGGCTGCCCGTGCCCAGCAACCACGTTCTGCGGAGAGAGGCGGCGGCGGCGGCTGTCCAGTCTTTCCGTCCTGGGGGGAGACTCCGCAGCCGAACAACGCCCCTGGAGCTCTCCTCCTCCTCTCCCTCCCCCCCCCGCCCCACTCGCCACTGGAGTCCGGCGGAGTCCCCGCGGCCGACTTCCCCCTCCGCGCTCATTCCCTCCCTTGCTCGCTCCCTCGCTCGCTTGCCGGAGGGGGCGGAGTCGGGCGGGAAGCCAGGGCGGCTGCAGGCGGGGCCGGGCTGGCCCGTGGCGTTCTCCCTCCTGGCTGGCAAACGCCGCCTAGGCGGCCGCTGCTCTCCACCCCCCTCCACCCCCTCCTGCGCCCGGGGTGCGCGCGAGCGGGAGTGACGCGGCGGAGGGGCGAGAGCTCCGAGCGGGCGGCTGCTGCTGCTGCTGCTGCTGCAGGTGGCGGCGGCAGCGAAGGCGGCGGCGGCGGCGCGATGAGCGGGGCAGGGGCGGCGGCCGCGGTTCTGGGGAAGAGCGAGAAGCTGGACGAGGCGCAGGCGTTGGCCCGCAGCTGCGCCGGCAGACCCGACTTCCAGCCTTGCGACGGGCTGTCGCTGTGCACCACCCACAGCCACGGGCGCTGCTTCCGCCTGCACTGGTGCTGCCACCTGGGCTGGTGCCACTGTGAGTAGCGGGGACGGGGCGAGGGGCGCGGCGGGGCGGGGAGCGTGGCTGGCCCTGTCGGGGCGCGAGAGAGCCCGCTCAGGATCGGGCGCAGGCGGAGAGGGCGGGCGTGTGCGCGTGTGGGCGCTCTCCCGGCCGGGTGGCTTGCCGCCGGTAGCGAGAGCCCGAACGTGCGGGCATCCCGCCTCGGGGAGCCGTCTGCGTGGCGGGGCTTCAGAGCCTCCTGGCCCTTCTTCTGTCGGAACGGCCAGAAGCCTCTTTCCTTCTGGAGAGGGCAGGCGCTTGTCACCCTTCCTTCCCTACCCGGCTCTGCGTTTGTTACCCGGCGGCAGGATTGGACACGGGATCGATAGTGACTGATCGCATGGCGCCCGGAACGCCGGATAGATTTATCCATCCTCCTGGGGAAGAGAGATCGTTTGCGTGTTTCTGACAAGGACAAGCTAAGAAGGGGTTGGGCTGTGCTGTGCTGTGCTGTGCAAGACCCAGCGGGTACAATCTGGGAAGACACCAAAGGAGCGCAGTCCGCCCCCCTCCCCGTTAAAGCAGAGGCAGAACACTACCACCACCCCCTTTTCTCTCTTGGGTGTGGGGTGAAGAGAGAAACCCTTCCATGCGCTGCCATCCTCTTTCTTTGCAACAAGAAGGAGCTCCCGCTCCGGTTTCAGTCTACTATAACCACTGGAGTTGTAAATTCCATGCATAAGTACAGATGTTCAGACAGGAAATGGACCTATCCTTCAAGTTTAGTAAGCAATGAAATCTCTAAAATTTTATTGCTGGAGTTTGCGCCAAGGCTTCTCATAACTTGCGTAGGATCTTATACCAATATAAATAGTAGTAATTAAAGCAAACTCCTGGGTTTGATGAGAAATACCATATGCTTTGCAGGATGGGTAGCTGATCCATTGTGGCTTAAAAAAAATAAGTGCTCTCTGTAATTAATTCTCAGAGAGTGGAGCCATGATGCAATTTCTATATATTGCTATCTGGTTTCCAGTCTATTCAAAAGGAATAAAAAAAGGAATACTTCCAAATATGCTAGAAGAAAGATGGCTTCGTTTAAATTTATTCCCTGTGAAAGGTTTGCTTGGTTCTTCTATTTTCCTTTCTCCCCAAGTGAAACGTGTATATATATGTCACAAAATGAACCAGTCACAATATGAATTAGCTACTAGCTCTGGCCTTTGCTTTATCTCTAGAGCCAAAAACTGAAAGACAGACACATGGGGCTGGTGACACTTCTGTTTTCTGGTTCAGTGTACTGTTGTTCCGATCCAAATTTCCATGGGTTCTTACCTCAGTCACAAAATATCATGTGCTGTGGGCTCACGTCCCACTTCTTATGACTTGAGGAACTAAATTAAGAAATGAGTTTTCATAGTTTTCTATTGGTTTCAAAATTAAACCTTGTTTTGCACATTAGAAAGGCATCATTATCTCTTTCTGAAAACTGCCTGACCCAAACAAAATTGCTAGGCTATTGATATTTATATTTTCACTTGATGACTTTACATTTTCATGCATGTGATCTTGCTCTGCTCCACTGTTGTTGTTGTTTTTAAATATACTGAATTCTTAGTGATTACCTCACCATGTCAATAATGCTCCTGGGACTTTCAACATGGTTGGGATAGCCAGGTTTTACTGATTCTCCAACGCACCCCTGTTGTGGTTCCCAGATATCATATTAGCCACTGTTCTCAACCTGTACATAATTTGTTGGTGCTAGGGGATTTCAAGGTCCAGGAGATTGCCTGGACCCCCACTAACATTCAGTGGGCTGGATTGAGATTGGCAAGAGAGTTTTCACAGAGAGAGACAACCAAGACAGTGACTTACCTTAGAAACTATTTATTGAATCTTGAAAACCATAATGCAGAAACTTTTAAACATATAACATCCTAGTTTGCAGCATACAGAAATAATAAAATACCTAAATAGAGTGCACTGTAATTCTATAGAGGATATATCCTGGTTGTCTCTCAAGACCCAAAAAGTGGTTGGTTGGCATACAGCCAGGACCAAAAGAGAATCCAAATGTTAAATACTTTTTGCCATCAGTAGAAGCCAATGTAGCTGTCAATTAAACCTGTGATTAACATCTGACATGTTTGACAAAATCCAACCCCTCATACACAGCAGACCTGAACTTTGCCTGTTATTATTTGTGAGGGGATGAAGCCACAGACTATTCTGGCATCTCTTCCAGTGGCAATCTGTGTATTACGTCAAGAATACCACCAGAGCCAGGAAATCTATGTTAAGGCTTAGAGGCTAGGACCACTATCTCCTGATATGTAAACTATCCACTAACCCAAAGGGCAATGTCAGGGTATTAGTTTTACAAAATTTTGTGGGATATTGAACCCAAGGGTAGCTATTAGAATCCAATACATATTAAAGCCAGAAAGACCAAGGCTCACTTATTGATCTGTTCTCCAACAGTTTGCTAGCATCTACAAAATTAGACTGTTGCTGCTATCTACTAAAATTCTAATGATGTCATGCACGTGTTCACTAAGTTCTTTCTGAAAATGTTTTTGGTTTCCTGTCCATAAAACACACTGTGAAGCTGATTGGAATCTACTGCCTTGATGCTTTTCAAGTGGCTGAATTGATTCACCTACCCTTACACCAGTATGGTCACAACATGATTAGGTACCTTTTCTGAAACTCAGAGTTTTGTCTTTTACGTCCAAGATTTTGTACAAGCATTCATTGCATATATTTGCTTGAACCTGCAGTTCTTATCCAGTTAGCAGCTTCGTAGAGCTGTATGTGTACACCAATGCTCCCTCTAAGCTGTGGAGTCTTGTGAGCAAAAATTCTACTTTGTGAGCTACTGGCATTAAAGCTGTGAGCAAGCAATTTGGCTACTGCATAAATTAGTTTGCTCTGGAGCCATCCTTCCTGAGCTAAGACAAAAATGTGTGAGCCAGAGGCTCAAAAATGGTGAGCTAGCTCACACTGACTCAGCTTAGAGGGAACACTGGACACCATTAAAAATGCATCGGTTTGCTTTTTTGACATTTCTCACTAAGGTGTATGGGTGTGTGCAGCAGATGTTTCTCAGAACTGGCTGTTGAATTGTTTTGTTTGGAAAATATTGCAGTGCACTGTACTGATTACACTAATATACAGTAGATGTGGGGAATTATTGAGGTGGTGCAGATGACAGAGGCAACACTGAAGAATGTTAACTCAAGATTCCCTGCAAAACGGGATACCTTCTTTCAGTGATAAACCAGTGACACACTATGCTGACATTAACACACTGGTGGAACCTGTGGATAATTTTACAGTGGAAAGCAGAAGGGTGTGAGCAGGGGTGTGGGTTTTCAGGAAAACTCACAAATTTTTCTGATGCTCTAAATAGACCGTAATCTGTGTTAGCATTCTTATATTTACTTATGCTTAGTAAACAAAATTTAAAAAGTACCATATGTTAATGTTATGTACCATTAGGAACAAATACATGAACTGGAATCCTTGATTAGGAAAATATAAATCATGCATGGTTTAAATGTTACCTTCAAAAATGTGTAAAACATTTTTCTTGGAATATGACTGGTAAAAATGTAAAGACAATGTAGCATGTACTTCCTTTACATTGTGTAAATTTAAGGAAAAAGCTGAAGGGACTGAAAACTGTTGACACACTAATTTTAGAGTATCCAAAGAACGGTGCATGATATGCCATTGGTCTGGTGGCCTAGTCATCTATTTTAACTAGGGATGCCAGCCTCCAAGTGGGACCTGGGGATCCCCTGGAATTACATCTCATCTCCAGACTACAGAGATCAGTTCCCCTGGAGAAAATGGATGCTTTGGAGGGTGGACTCTATATGGCATTGTGCCCACCTGAGGTCCCTGTCCTTCCCAGGCTCCACCCCCAAACCTCCAGGAGCTTCCCAACCTGGATCTGGCAACCCTATCCCCACCCCCAGCTGGGGGCCAGGAGGAACTTGGCAACCCTAATTTTAACCCATGGAGGTTACTGGGGCACCTCACTTTCACTGTCACTCTCTGTAGCATCACTTGTATTACTTGATAGTTCCATATCAGATTCGTGGTTACATTCTCTCTTCCACCATGGGCGAGAACACATATTAATAAGAATTTTAGCTTTGGTTTTGATTTGACCTGTACAACCCATTAGTTAAATTCATAAATTGGATTTTTATTTGGATTATTATATGTCTTTGTAGGTTTTCCTCTCTTTCCCCCATTTACAAATCAGGAAAACATAACATGTACTCTCTTAAAATAATAATCACATGAAAAACTTTAATTACAACTTTGAACTGGCCATATTTATCCAGTATTGTATTAGCAGTGTTATTCACTCATGGTTATTTTATTAAACAATGAATCTTTAGAAATGGAAAACGGTTTGTGGACAAATAAAGCCCTGGAAATTTTTAAGGATGAAAACTTTTCCACACCACAACCCTGAGTGTGAGAAAAAGAGAGATATCAGGAGGAAAATTAAGTTAGTATAAATATCGTAGATGCACGGTGGTTGGCTGGACAAATCCAGCAGCTGAATAGGTTTGAATAGATTTGTCCATAAAAGTTATTCATCCTGTAGAGTATGTAGAATTGAGCACCCATCTTTGAAATAGTAGAATGGAGTCCCATATTGTGTGTCAGGATATGGGTGGCATGGCAGTGAGTGCTGGTGGGGGGGTGGAGTAACAAGAGGGCACTTGAGTGAGGTGGTCTGTGGGTTTGTTGCTCATCCCCTCATGGACCTCTTGGTCCAGTAGCTATTTTTTTTCAAGTTAAAAATGGCAGATGATGTTTGTTGTATTTGAATCTCTATATTCCACCTTTCCCTTTTAACAAGGTGGCTCAAAGCCTAGAGTCTTAGCAAGAAAGGTGGACTATAAATGAAATGACTTAAAACCAGCATGAAGCAATAACAGGCACAGCATAAAAATCAGCCCAAAACAGGCAAGGAAACAACAAAACAGCCTATGAACTGGGCCCTCCTA